TAATATATTATAGGTCCGCAACGTAAGTTTTTAAGTTTGGTTTATATGAACTAGATTTAAGACTATTGCAGGACTACATAGACATTGGCATAAACTTTGGATTTTAGTTATTAACCGTTGAACTCACAAGCCTTTAACGCCATTATCCTTTAATCGTTTCCCTGTCAGAACATCGCACGGGCAAGCCCGCTGCCGCCGCCCTTGCCAAGTCAGACTCTGCCCCCGCCTCCTGGTCAGACCATGAGTTCTGGGACTCACTTGGTGACGCCGGCAAGCACGATGACCGAAGGTCAGACTCCAGCTGCTGCGTCGCCGATCATTACCCAGCCAGTTGGGACTCCAGGTCAGACGAAAGCGCAGGCGCCTTTTCCGGCGAAGGCCGCTCCTGGCCGTTCGCCTTAGTTAGACAGATGTTCACAAAGCCGTGGAATTGGGGTCGCAGTCTGACAGACAAGACTCGTCACGTCAGACACTGTTGGCAGCATTTGTCAGACAGTGAAGACGTCCCCGTCCCGTAAGATTGCAAGAGCACTTACGGTTAGACTGACGGCATTCAGACAGCAATTCAAAGTAAAATTGCCAGACCGTGACTGCGGATTGTGTGACCGAGCTGCACCTTTGCCGTGTTAGCATTGATTGTGCACGTGCAGGTTGGGGCGAGATTGTCAGACATCGCTGCCTTGGCCTTGGCATTGGTGTTGCTGCCAGAGTTCGGCGGAGTTGCTGGTGAGTGCTTGATTGATTCTCTGTGGCCCAGGTGTTTTGGTACATGCGGCACTGTCGACTGCCTGGACGAGGCAGGACATTGAGATGCATATTATTTCTCTTGCAAGTTCTTGATGTCAGAGTTTGTGTGCCAAATCCATGAAACCTGCCTGCAGTCAGATTTTCACTCAGGGCCTTTGAGCAAAGTTCAACGGCCTATTATTAATGGCGGTCCGGACCGTAGTAGTAAGATTGAAAACGTCAGTGTCACAGTGTCAGATCTTTTTAATGGCCACGTTCTCACTGCATTGCCTAAGCCAGCTAGGGCCTATCAGACAGACACTTAGTGTAGGTCAGAGCGAGTCGGACGGCCTCAGGCTGTGACCATGTGAGTCTGAGTCTTGACTAGTCAGACCGTTGGTTTCCAGCCATGACAGACATCGACACCATGACGGTGGAGTCCTTCACTGTGGAGTCAGACACAGCTAGTGTCAATAGCTACAGTGTTGTGTCGTCGGCCTGGCAAACAGTGGTGCCGGAATGTCAGACTGTGCCAGTGCAGAATCTCAGTCCAGCTGCTGAGTTTTTGGGAGGGTCTTCTGATGTTCGTCAGACTGCGACTCCAGCTTCCACACCTCTGATAGTTCCAGCTTCTGATGCAGCATATGGTCAGACTGTGACTACAGAGACGGCCGCCCCGGAGACAGCTGGTCCGGTTTCTTATGGTCCCAGGCCGGCACCGGGTTGCTGGGCAGCGACTCAGCCCATCAGAGGCGTCGCAAGGACCATAATGCCAGACGGACGACTGGACCCACCTATCGCGGAGGACGAGACCAGGTCAGACTTCAGCTTTGGCTCCGGGTCACACCTTTATCCCCACTTGAACAGCGGTGGTCAGACTCAGGATCCTTTTGTCCACCAGGGTGGCGAGCCCAAACTGTCCGTCGTGCCTGAACAGGCCCAGTTGCAGTCAGACAGCGCCGACCAGAAGTTCTACGATGGACCTAGTCAGACGGCTCCGGGTCCCAGTCAGACGGCTCCGGATCCCAGTCAGATGGCTCCGGATCCCAGTCAGACGGCTCCGGATCAGGCTCCATGGTTGCCGGGACCGAGCCAAGCAGCGCCGGGAAAAGGTCCCCCATCTCGAAGTCAGACTTCGACGACAGGGCCCGGCAAAGGATTTTTTGGCAAGGCCAGACAGCCGAAGGGCCAGCGCTACATGCCGCCAGGCCCGAAGACGGTCCTCACGACCAATGAAATGGACATGTCAGAGATCGACGTGTGGCAGCAGATCCTCAAGAAGACGTTAGACTCACGAATGGAGCCACAGGAGTCCAAGTTGATGCACGATCTCGTCGGACAATGCTTCCTGGTTGCATTGCTACACCTGTTCGTGTGAGATTGCTTCGATTCAGTTCACGAAATTCATCAATGCCTGTTGTGTTGTTCGTGCGCAAATTTCATGATTCAGTGTCTGAGGCTGGCGGAGAATGCCCAAGGTGCCGGTGCCAATTGCGCCCAAGGCCGAGAAGTCAGACGAAATAACCAGTCTCGTCGCTCGGATTAAAGATTGAGTCGTGAATCATGTCAGATCAATGTCTAGCTGAGTCTAGCTGTACACAGACGACAACACACCGACTGAGATCATGGACCAAGTGGCCGACCTGTCTCCGCACATGCACTTCATACTGCAACGGTTAGAGTGCGATTCAACCTCGTACGCTGTGCCTCTTCTGAATTCGCCGCAGACATTCACAGAAGTATAAGTTACCAGTAATAAATTAATTTTTATAGTTAAGTTGAACTCGAATTCATGTTGCTACCAAGGTTGTGCTTGCGATCATGATGCACCCAGCATCCCGATCCAGGGGTGAGGGTTATGCGTCAGAACTGACGATAAAACTCTTACGTAACTTGGCTGCAGTAGGTCTGTCAGAGTCATTCAATCACATTCTCAAGTTGAGGCCGTCGCATGTCAGACAGAAGTTCATGCTTGCTACAATTGTCTACCAGACCCAGGCCAATGGCTTCAGTATGACGAGGCCCACATGTACCAAGACCCCAACATGGTCATCGCATCTTGGGGTCACGAGAAAAATTATTTGCTGAGCTGCTGGGCTGCATGTCAGCTTGCCAGTTGTGCTGCTGCTTTAGCAAATTTTTGACAAAATTCTTGACTGCTTTGTTGCATCTAAGTGCGGTGCCACCCACAAGTGTGGGACTACCCGAAAGACATGGTGAAGAACTGGTACAGGCCTCGCAGGCTTAAGGACGCCGAGTGTCAGACAGACCCTTGGTTCAATGTCAAATTTCTTCATTGACAGCTTAGGCTTTGCAGCTGCCAAACACAGACACTTCGACAGAAAACGTGTGCTTAGGACTGGACCTTGGCACCTGGCATTGTGATGCCTCCGGGCCCACCTGCCACGCCTGCAGGGTCGTCAGACCCCTCCCAAGGCCAGCCTGCAAGCTCGTCAGACGGCCAAGCGACTTGACACAACCGCAGCGGTTTCTGTTGTTGTTCTTCGGATTTAACGATTAACTGTAATTATACCAACAATTTTAAAAATTTAATATTAAATATAGATTATAATAATAACATCATAGCATACTGGCACATTTGCGAAACCTTGCAGGGCTGGAGTCAGACTCAAAGCCATCAGAACTGGCAGAAAAATGGCGACTCGTCGAAGTGGTCTGGCTGGTGGAAGTCAGACTACACGAACGATGGCTGGCATCAGGGGCAGCAATCGTCAAACAACGGCCAGTCTGGAGGGCAGCAGTCAGACGGCTGGTCGCAGCAGCAGGGCAGCTGGGACAAGCAGCAGGGCGGCTGGAACCAGCCGCCCTGCTGCTGGTTCCAGCCGCCCTGCTGCTTGTCCCAGCTGCCCTGCTGCTGCGACCAGCCGTCTGACTGCTACCCTCCAGACTGGCCGTTGTTTGACGATTGCTGCCCCTGATGCCAGCCATCGTTCGTGTAGTCTGACTTCCACCAGCCAGACCACTTCGACGAGTCGCCATTTTTCTGCCAGTTCTGATGGCTTTGAGTCTGACTCCAGCCCTGCAAGGTTTCGCAAATGTGCCAGTATGCTATGATGTTATTATAATCTATATTTAATATTAAATTTTTAAAATTGTTGGTATAATTACAGTTAATCGTTAAATCCGAAGAACAACAACAGAAACCGCTGCGGTTGTGTCAAGTCGCTTGGCCGTCTGACGAGCTTGCAGGCTGGCCTTGGGAGGGGTCTGACGACCCTGCAGGCGTGGCAGGTGGGCCCGGAGGCATCACAATGCCAGGTGCCAAGGTCCAGTCCTAAGCACACGTTTTCTGTCGAAGTGTCTGTGTTTGGCAGCTGCAAAGCCTAAGCTGTCAATGAAGAAATTTGACATTGAACCAAGGGTCTGTCTGACACTCGGCGTCCTTAAGCCTGCGAGGCCTGTACCAGTTCTTCACCATGTCTTTCGGGTAGTCCCACACTTGTGGGTGGCACCGCACTTAGATGCAACAAAGCAGTCAAGAATTTTGTCAAAAATTTGCTAAAGCAGCAGCACAACTGGCAAGCTGACATGCAGCCCAGCAGCTCAGCAAATAATTTTTCTCGTGACCCCAAGATGCGATGACCATGTTGGGGTCTTGGTACATGTGGGCCTCGTCATACTGAAGCCATTGGCCTGGGTCTGGTAGACAATTGTAGCAAGCATGAACTTCTGTCTGACATGCGACGGCCTCAACTTGAGAATGTGATTGAATGACTCTGACAGACCTACTGCAGCCAAGTTACGTAAGAGTTTTATCGTCAGTTCTGACGCATAACCCTCACCCCTGGATCGGGATGCTGGGTGCATCATGATCGCAAGCACAACCTTGGTAGCAACATGAATTCGAGTTCAACTTAACTATAAAAATTAATTTATTACTGGTAACTTATACTTCTGTGAATGTCTGCGGCGAATTCAGAAGAGGCACAGCGTACGAGGTTGAATCGCACTCTAACCGTTGCAGTATGAAGTGCATGTGCGGAGACAGGTCGGCCACTTGGTCCATGATCTCAGTCGGTGTGTTGTCGTCTGTGTACAGCTAGACTCAGCTAGACATTGATCTGACATGATTCACGACTCAATCTTTAATCCGAGCGACGAGACTGGTTATTTCGTCTGACTTCTCGGCCTTGGGCGCAATTGGCACCGGCACCTTGGGCATTCTCCGCCAGCCTCAGACACTGAATCATGAAATTTGCGCACGAACAACACAACAGGCATTGATGAATTTCGTGAACTGAATCGAAGCAATCTCACACGAACAGGTGTAGCAATGCAACCAGGAAGCATTGTCCGACGAGATCGTGCATCAACTTGGACTCCTGTGGCTCCATTCGTGAGTCTAACGTCTTCTTGAGGATCTGCTGCCACACGTCGATCTCTGACATGTCCATTTCATTGGTCGTGAGGACCGTCTTCGGGCCTGGCGGCATGTAGCGCTGGCCCTTCGGCTGTCTGGCCTTGCCAAAAAATCCTTTGCCGGGCCCTGTCGTCGAAGTCTGACTTCGAGATGGGGGACCTTTTCCCGGCGCTGCTTGGCTCGGTCCCGGCAACCATGGAGCCTGATCCGGAGCCGTCTGACTGGGATCCGGAGCCATCTGACTGGGATCCGGAGCCGTCTGACTGGGACCCGGAGCCGTCTGACTAGGTCCATCGTAGAACTTCTGGTCGGCGCTGTCTGACTGCAACTGGGCCTGTTCAGGCACGACGGACAGTTTGGGCTCGCCACCCTGGTGGACAAAAGGATCCTGAGTCTGACCACCGCTGTTCAAGTGGGGATAAAGGTGTGACCCGGAGCCAAAGCTGAAGTCTGACCTGGTCTCGTCCTCCGCGATGGGTGGGTCCAGTCGTCCGTCTGGCATTATGGTCCTTGCGACGCCTCTGATGGGCTGAGTCGCTGCCCAGCAACCCGGTGCCGGGCTGGGACCATAAGTAACCGGACCAGCTGTCTCCGGGGCGGCCGTCTCTGTAGTCACAGTCTGACCATATGCTGCATCAGAAGCTGGAACTATCAGAGGTGTGGTCTGACCACTGCTGCCCGGGGCTGCAACCGTGGTAGTGGAAGCTGGAGTCGCAGTCTGACGAACATCAGAAGACCCTCCCAAAAACTCAGCAGCTGGACTGAGATTCTGCACTGGCACAGTCTGACATTCCGGCACCACTGTTTGCCAGGCCGACGACACAACACTGTAGCTATTGACACTAGCTGTGTCTGACTCCACAGTGAAGGACTCCACCGTCATGGTGTCGATGTCTGTCATGGCTGGAAACCAACGGTCTGACTAGTCAAGACTCAGACTCACATGGTCACAGCCTGAGGCCGTCCGACTCGCTCTGACCTACACTAAGTGTCTGTCTGATAGGCCCTAGCTGGCTTAGGCAATGCAGTGAGAACGTGGCCATTAAAAAGATCTGACACTGTGACACTGACGTTTTCAATCTTACTACTACGGTCCGGACCGCCATTAATAATAGGCCGTTGAACTTTGCTCAAAGGCCCTGAGTGAAAATCTGACTGCAGGCAGGTTTCATGGATTTGGCACACAAACTCTGACATCAAGAACTTGCAAGAGAAATAATATGCATCTCAATGTCCTGCCTCGTCCAGGCAGTCGACAGTGCCGCATGTACCAAAACACCTGGGCCACAGAGAATCAATCAAGCACTCACCAGCAACTCCGAACTCTGGCAGCAACACCAATGCCAAGGCCAAGGCAGCGATGTCTGACAATCTCGCCCCAACCTGCACGTGCACAATCAATGCTAACACGGCAAAGGTGCAGCTCGGTCACACAATCCGCAGTCACGGTCTGGCAATTTTACTTTGAATTGCTGTCTGAATGCCGTCAGTCTAACCGTAAGTGCTCTTGCAATCTTACGGGACGGGGACGTCTTCACTGTCTGACAAATGCTGCCAACAGTGTCTGACGTGACGAGTCTTGTCTGTCAGACTGCGACCCCAATTCCACGGCTTTGTGAACATCTAACTAAGGCGAACGGCCAGGAGCGGCCTTCGCCGGAAAAGGCGCCTGCGCTTTCGTCTGACCTGGAGTCCCAACTGGCTGGGTAATGATCGGCGACGCAGCAGCTGGAGTCTGACCTTCGGTCATCGTGCTTGCCGGCGTCACCAAGTGAGTCCCAGAACTCATGGTCTGACCAGGAGGCGGGGGCAGAGTCTGACTTGGCAAGGGCGGCGGCAGCGGGCTTGCCCGTGCGATGTTCTGACAGGGAAACGATTAAAGGATAATGGCGTTAAAGGCTTGTGAGTTCAACGGTTAATAACTAAAATCCAAAGTTTATGCCAATGTCTATGTAGTCCTGCAATAGTCTTAAATCTAGTTCATATAAACCAAACTTAAAAACTTACGTTGCGGACCTATAATATATTATAAATTATGATAATAATCTATATTTGGACTGTGGATCCCAGCCTGACCCGACAAGTACTCGCCAACCAGGGTGTTGTACTGCTGCTCTGACATGTTACCAGCACAGCGGCTCTGGGCCAGATGGGTCATCGCGAGAGAAACGCCCAACTTGTCTGACACCACCTGCTTCTCCTCGACCACCTGCAAATATTTGTCGGCAAGCCGTGCCTTAGATTGGCCGAGCATGACGAAACAAATAACCACGCTGACTGACAAACGTACTGGTTTCTAAAACCAAACTGAATAATTAATTCAAAGCAACAGATTAAACCATAACACTGTTTATAAGAAGTTTAATAAAAATAATAATCTGTTAATCAACTTAATTTATGATCACGCTGATTGACAATTTCATACCAAACTAAACTGAATTGAAAATTCAAGCCTAGGAGCCAGGGCGTCTGACACTTGTGCGGCGTCTTCTTGCTGCCTCGGCTGCTCCCTTGGCTCCCTTTGCGCGCAGTCTGACCAAGACCAGGCCGACGCCGATGACCAGTCTGACGACCTCCACCAGGACGACGACGACCAGGACCAGTCCGACGATGAGGATTGCCACGACTGCCACTCCCGGTCCGCCCCGATCTCTGACGTCGTCTTGACCTTCCACCGTCTGTTCTGCTTCTTGTTCGGACCCGGGGCCTGGACCTTGTGGTCTGACGTCATCGGCTTGGCCTTTGGCGGGGTTGGCGTTGGTCCTGGTGAGTCTGCCACCAGGTCCGCATGAATGCCCCTGGCCTTTGGATCTGACGCCGCTGCCTTCGATCCCGATGCCACGCTCTCTGACTTTGCCGCGGCCTTGAACGTCAGACGTGGCTCGATCACTGTCAGACGCTCTCTGGGGTTTTCCTCGAACGGTGACGACACCGGCGAGGTTGGCGTCATAGCCGGCTCAGTCGGAGTGTAATTCGTCTGACTGGGGCTCCTTGACCTCGACGGTGACCTTGTCGTCATCTTCGTCACCGGCGTCTGACCAATGCCGTCCTTCGGCTCAGCGCCCGTCGGCTCTTCTGTCGTCTTACGAGCGCCCTCCTCCTCAGGCACCGGGGGGAGTGGCTGATTCCTCGTAGTCTGACGCTTGGTGTTGAAGTGCGGCATCCCTTTGAGCTCGGGCTTGCGCTGGCGCACCATGGCCAAAAATCTGTCTGACCACAGCTAGAGGACTCACTCAAACCCACACGCAGTCAGACGAGTCATGAAATACCGATTGAAACTCCTGAATATCAATTGTCATAATCTGAAATCTAATCATCGCCGATGTCTTACACTGAGACTGACTAGCTGATGGTCCGAACTGCCTGCAGTCAAGACGGTCAAAGGAGCTTGCAAGCAAGTCAATCAAACAGCACAGGCCGAAAGGTGCGTGCAAACGCCAGCCTCCACCTCCACGGCGCCATCACATCGTCGAGGAGACCAGCGATGTTGTCTGACCTTCGCGAATTTAAATTGAAATTATGCGAGAATGAGTCTGACTACCACTTAGGGTTTTAGTGGTTCAAGGTCTAGGGGTTAGGGTTTGGGGTTGGGCTTAGGGTTAAGGCGGGGCCAATGGCTCACCAGCAAAGCTGGGCCAATGGCTCACCCGACAGTGCCCAGAACAGCTGGGGCCAATGGCACACCCGATGGGGCCAGTGGCTACACCCAGCAACCCGGGGCCAAGGGCTCACCCAGCACTGCTGGGGCCAATGGCTCACCCAGAAAAGTTGGGGCCAATGGCTGACGCACGGGGCCAAGGGCTCACCCAGCAAAGCTGGGGCCAGTGGCACACCCGAGCAGTGGTTGGGGCCATCGGCTCACCCAGCAAAGCTGGGGCCGATGGCACACCCAACACCGGGGCCAATGGCTCACCCAGCAAAGCTGGGGCCAGTGGCACACCCGAAAACTGGTTGGGCACACCCAGCAAAGCTGGGGCCGATGGCACACCCAACAGCGGGGCCAATGGCTCACCCAGCAAAGCTGGGGCCAATGGCACACCCAACCAGCGCCAATGGCTCGCCCAGCAAAGCTGGGGCCAACGGCACGGCAGCACGGGGCCATCGGCTCACCCAGCAGAACTGGGGCCAATGGCGCACCCGGCGCACCGGGCCAATGGCTCACCCAGCACTGCTGGGGCCAATGGCTCACGCGGCGGACCGGGGCCAATGGCTCACCCAGCACTGCTGGGGCCAATGGCCCACCCGGCGGGGCCAATGGCTCGCCCAGCACTGCTGGGGCCAATGGCACACCCAAGTCAATCAAAGATCCTGGGCCAATGGCTCACCCAGCTAAGGGGCCAATGGCACACCAGGAACCGAGGCCAATGGCACGCCCAGCAAGGCTGGGGCCAATGGCTCACTCGGCAGGCTCGGGCCATGGCTCACCCAGCAAGCTGGGGCCATGGCTCACCGAGCTGCAAAACGACGCAAACGAGGGGTTTAGGGTTTAGGGGTTTAGGGGTTTAGGGTTTTAGGGCTTAGGGTTAGGGTGTCTTACTGTCTCAGCTCCTGACGATGCCTGGATGGGAATGACGACAAAGATCACGGACCATGTCTGACCTGGCAGAATTAAATACCCTAACTTACCCAATACCTACCCCTTTAGCAAACTTGCGAGGGCGCACCTTCCGAAACCATCGGGCAGCTCGGGGGCTTTGAGGGGGGGCTTGTCTTACTTGGGCTTTAGTTTTTGTTCTTACATGACTTTCTTGGGGAGCTGCTTCTCATGCAAACATGTTGGAACTTGAGCCACCAGGGGGCATCTAGAAAAAAAGCTTTCAAGCTCTCCACTTGGGATCCAAGTCTATGGCTCTTCACTCAGCGTGGTCAGTGGTAGCCCGGCTCCTTGAGTGGTATCATTTTCATTGTGACGCCACCATGTTCGCCATTCGTCTTGCTGGTTCCACCATGCACAAATGCATTTTCGGCAGTAATGGTGATGGTGTCCTGTGCGCGTCCTGGCACACCTATGGATAAATCCATGGCATACTTCACATCGGTGGCCACAGGGGCCACAGGTTGGCCGACCGCAGATAGCACCCATACTGGCCAAACAGCCCCCGAAAGCCGAAATCCTGAACCGCGGACTCCGACCCAAATCCTAAAACCCCAAAGCCCTTACAAACCCTGAAGCCAAATGACCCAAACCCTTAAAAGCAGAGTACGTAGGTTACTCTACTTGCTATGGCAACAGAACATTCTTTTTGGAGCTCCCTAATTCCAAAAGAAGTCAGAACCAAACACATCAACTCCTAAACAAACTGCCCACGAGCAGTCCCCAGTAGAACGAAGCGAAATCCGGTCCCTTGAGCCTGCAAGTAGCCACGCGAATCCCCCCAAAAATCTAACCTGGCCTAGACTTCCAAGCAGCGTCCCGACGCAAAGCCCTGCAAGGGTTGGGCTTTTAGTAACCAGTGGAGTTGTATGAAAGCATAGAGCACAGGGTGTAGTAGGGCTGAACTGCTTGTACCATCTTACTTTTGGGTTTGGGACGTTTCAGGGCAAGGGCTTTGGGGTTTAGGATCTGAAGTTACGGGGCCTTGGGCTCTGGGATCGCAGCTTCGTATGTATGGGATTGAGCTGTGGCGTGGCTGTTGAAGGCCACACATCCACAACAGTTCATTCTTTCATGCCTTTATTCGTTCCTTCCCTCCGTCCTTCCCGTGCTGATTCATTCATTTCATGCATGGTTCAGAGAAAAAACGGCTCGAGCTGCATTCCGTCCACTTAACTCGCCGGGTCGACCATAGCCCAAACATGCCAGACCCTTGAGCAGGATGTATCGTCGGAATAGCTCCTCACGGGGGGTTTGTGAGGGTCGGATAGGGTTCTGCAAGGGCTTGAGGGTCCCATCCGAGAAACACTAGACCTTCAAATCTGGAATGTGGAGTTTTCGAACCCAGTATTCCTAGGCGCCTCGCATCAAGACTTTCGTAACATCAAGAATTAAAGCCCCTACAACTAACTGACGAATGAAGCGTGCTCAACCGCAAGGTGCGAATGGGCTCAGCAACAGTCAATGCGTCATGTGGCTGGCGACTGGACAGTACTGCCCAAAGGGTCCAAAGTACCGATATAGTAGAATGTAGGGTTTCTATACTAGGAATTACTATTATGATTTGGGGAGGTATCCCCATGACAGTACGTAGGACTCTTTGGGAGGTTCTAGGGCTTTCCGTGCATTCGGATCTTGACTCGAGAGCATGATCGTCCGCCATCCTGCAAAAGCCCCTACGTCAAGCGAATTGAGAGAAAAAAAACCCTAGTGAATCCCTAATCCACCCCTCTAAACGTGAGGCCATGCAATCCCCCATGAATTTTCAAACATATATTCACAATACTAGCAAAAATACTTTCAAACATATTCATAATACTAGCAATAATACTCACTATATTCGCGGGTCCCCGCTCAACCCTGTGATTGCAGTAAACCCCAGACCCTAAAATATCCTTATGACACTAAACCCCCTCGTGTATGGGTCTTAAAAATTAGAATACGGTTTCGGGGGTTTCTTTTTGTACTTATTTATAGTATACTATACCCCAAACCCCCTTCTAACTATTGAAGCCCCTACATGAAGCCCCAAACCACGCAAACTTCGGATACTCCCAAAGCCCCAAAAAGGAAACCCTGAGGGTCCAAGTAGTCCTTCTCTACGGTTTCTCATACCTCAAAAGGCCTTAAACGTCCTACTACAGCAAGCCTAAACCCTAAACACCCTCTGCAGTCCTTATTTATGGGTTTTTCATACCTCAAAATGCCTTACAAGTCCTACTACAGTACGCCTACACCCTAAACCCCCTCTGTAGTCCTTATTTATGGTTTTTGATACCTCAAACGGCCTTAAAGTCCTACTATAATAAGCCTAAACCCTAAAACCCTAAACCCCAAAACCCTAAACCCTCAACCCCCTCTGCAAGAAAGCCCATGAGCATCCTCCATCTTGGAGCCCAGCGGCCTCGCACTTTCTAGGAATTGAGGATTCCCCAAGAAGTTGCTACGGTTGATGATATAAATCCTGCATTACTTAAGCTGCCTAACCTATGGGAATTTTGGTATATTCCTTGTTATGGGTAATGCAGGATTTAGATCATCAACAGTATGAGGGTTAGGGCTACCCTAAGGCCCCATGGTAGCTCCTTTTTCGGGGTTCATATATAAAATCCTATAAGGTAATCCCCAAAAAGGAACTACTTTGGGGCCTATGGGTAGGGTTCCTTTGAAGGTTACTGTAAAGGTACTATAATAAGGGCTCCTTTAATTAAAGGGCTCTATAAGGGTTTAGGTTCTCTGAGAGGTTTAGGGTTTAGGTTTACAGGAGGCTGAGGGTTTATAGGGGTGAGGATCTCGGGTTGAAGGACTACTTAGAGGATCATGGGGACTTAGTAAGTAGGTTATGATTGGAGTTATAAGTCCCCTAAGTGGGGTTATCCTAATTATAACCTACTTATAACCTGAGTTACTAAGTCCCATGAGCCTTCAAGTAGGGTTTTGGTGTTGAATGCAGGATTACGGCTTAGAATGCGGGGTTTAGACTTCTATACACATGTATTGTCGCTCTACATAGGTACTTTATAGGCCTTTGTTGAACTGGAGTTGAGACGGCCTTAGAGGGTGTTTATCACAGCTTCACAGGAGTTTAGGCCCCAAAACACCCAAACCCCTAAACACGGCAGACACGCAGATAGAGTGCTGAAGCCTTCCTAGCGATGACAAGCCAAATGTGCTCAAGCCGGCTAGCTGTTCAAACTCACCCTCAAAGCACAGGACTTGATGTTAAATTATAGGGCTAAAACAGAAGCCTGAACAGTGAGTAGTAATGAGTTGTACAATTCCTCATCACCGCCAGCCTATTGTACCCTGATGGAGCCCTAAGCCTGTTTGGGAAGGCTTCGAAAAGCTA